CTCGGCACAAATGCATAAATAGGTCCCTCTTGTACCTCCCTCTAACATCAGACTGAAGTACCTTCACCTTTCTGCCAATACACTTCCTCCATCTGTTGCGGGCTTCTAGGACTTCACACCAACGAGACTTGGTTGCAACCCACCAATGCCTAGAGCAATCCCCAACTATGGAAACCACATACCTATTACCTCCCAATGATGCTCCTTTGGAAGACCCCCCGAATGCCTGAATGAACACCCCTCAGAAGACCCCTCGAATGATGGATAGAAGTGCCAAACTCCATCTCGGTCTTCTTGCTCATACCAATGGGTTCACAGGACTTCAAACTGTAGGTCAAAGCACTCCTCAATAACCTATGCACGGTATTACCAATCAAATAACCCAGCATCAAACAACGCCACAGTCTAGCCGAATCTGATGAAGTCGTCATCTCCCTATCAATCGCCGTGCTTCCAAGCAAATAATACAAATTGCTCCTTCTGACGTCCTTCATCACAATCATGGACCCCAATGTGACCTTCAAACGTGCATCCACCAAGGTCACTTTATAGCCAGATGCCACCAAAGCTCCTAGTGAAATGATGTTCTTCGACAACTGCGGAACGAACCTCACTTCATCCAACTCCTGAATCACTCCGTCATACATCCGAATACGAACGGTACCAATACCACCAATAGAGCATGCATGTCCATTACCCATGAGCACAACATACTCTCTTTCCAACTTCTGAAAGCTGGAGAACCAATCCCTCCTAGGGCAAACGTGGTATGAAGCACCCGAATCCAACATCCACTCTGTAGAGTTGGCAACACAAACTGACGGTAGTGCAGACAACGAATAGCCCGAAGAATCCGAATCTGAATTGTTGCCACTAGTCTTGACAACATTCACCTCTGAAGCTTGTACAGCTTTCTCCTTATTCTTCTCGGCTCGATCTAACTTTGGGCATTCGGCTTTCCAATGTTCATCCTCTTTACAAAAGGCACACTAATTCCTACGAATCCCACGATGTGCACCTCTAGACTGCGACCTCCTGCTTCGGTTTGAACCACGGTCATAAACTACTAATGCATCTCCTGATGCCTTCTCGGAGGACTCATCAACACTCTTCCTCAACACATAATTCACCAACGCTGAGGTCACCTCCTTGTAACTAACATTAGTTCTTCCATTAATCATAGTTAGGACAAAAGTACCATAATCATCATCGGGCAACGAACACAAAAGTAGCATCGCCTTGTCTTCATCCTCAACCATGATATCCACATTGGCCATGTCTGAAAGTAGCTTTGTGAAGTTGTTAACATGCTCCCTAATGGAACCTCCCCTCTTCATCTTGAACTGGTAAAACCTCTTCTTCAAGTGAAGCCGATTCTCAATGCTCTTAGTAAGATACTTTTCATTGAGTGTTTCTCACATCTTCTTCGCCGACGTCTCGTTCATCACGTCATAAATAAGATCAGGCGTCAAGCATGACCGAATAACTCCACACGCCCTACTATTCATCTTCTTCCAAACCTTAACTTCCATCTCGGCAGGTTTCTCTTGTAACTCAAGAGTCTCCTCCAAATTCTGAGCGTCCAAGGCGTCCATCACCTGACACCTCCACAATCCGAAATTAATCTTGCCGTCGAACTTCGGAACATCAATCTTCATGTTATTGATGCTCAAACTATGTATCGCCTTCGTAAGAGACGATCCCGATGTGCTTGTTTCACCCATATTGTCGATCTAATCTTCAAATAAGAATCCTTCAGCGAATCCTTCAAACAAGCTCCTAAGTCCAACCCGGAGCTCTGATACCACTTGTTGTGCGCAGCGGAAATTTCGGCAGCACCTCCGGTGCGCAAGGTGCATAACAAGAGATTAGATCACAATGAAATTCTTGTTTCTCAAAGGAAACAAGAACCAAAAAGCCAGATATCTCATCAAAGTGAGATATCAGCTCTTCCTCTCGTCAGCTCTAGGACTGCGCGTCGAGGGAACCTACAAGCTATTACAAATCAAGGCAAGAACACAAATTTTACGTGGTTCGGCAAATTGCCTACGTCCACGGGGCAAGGAGGGGGGAGATCTACTATTAGAGGGAGAGATACAACTAGGATTTACAATCTCACAATCTAAACCCTCTCACAAACTCTCAGATCCCTCACACAAATATCTCTCTCAAAAGGATGCACAAATCAAAGAACAACTACAAAAAGACTTTGCTTCTTCTCTATGAATAGCCGCAAAAATCTCTTCTGTGTTCTTCACCTGCAGCCGCAAAAACAAGACCTGCTTGCACTCCTGCACAGCGTCTGCACTTTTCTTTTGCCGCCGCCAAAAGAACCCCCTCACTTCGCACTCAAAACAAAAAACCCTAGGTGCCCTTTTATAGCAATCAAGCAATCGGGTTGTGTTCACGTGGGTCTGGCCCACTTCTTCTCTTCACGCGGAAACGAGGTTGCATTCTTGTTCACACATGTGGTGCCCCACATTTCTTTTCTTTGCTCCGCTGGCCCCCACGTTCACAGTTACTTCTCCAGTTTCAAGATGCAAGTGTCGCAGTACGACACTCACGCCGAAGGAACTGTTGTTGATACCCTCATTCTCAAGTTTGACCAAGCCGCCTCTGAAGCGAGCTTGAAGAAGTGTTCAAGTCCTAGCTGCGTGCAGAAGCACAAGAAAGCTGTTGCTGCTGCTGCCGAGCGTACATCTTCCTCGTCGCCGCAAGCTTAAGAACCCTACTGATGAAGCCATTGCATTTTTTGCCAGGGCAAAATGTGAGTCCCCCGAACCCCACTGCGATGTTCAAGGAGAAAGGTCTGCTCTCCTGTCTCCTTTACTACTAAGGCTGGAGGTGCATCAACCCCTTGCCTCACTCAGAAATGGGTCCAACATGACTCAAGCTAAGACTTCAAATCTTTGGATTGAACGTGATGGGATTCAATGAAGGACTTGGGAGACAGCAGCGAAGTCTGGCGAGAGTCTAGACATGAAGCTTTAACAGGATCTCAGACATGATTTCAGGAGCGAGAATGGTATTTATTGCTGCCGCGGATGATCAGGATCTGATACTGTAAGAGAGAAGCAAAGCAGCCAGGACATAGACAAGGTACCTCTTACTCCATCTCAGTCATGAATGTTTCGTGCTTGGTAGTGAGGTGTCTCATTCCCCTCCACTCATTGTCATTCTCAACCACTTCCCAACCTATGTGAATGTGAGCCCCGATTTTAATGAGTAGAGGAGAATGAGACACCTTACTCTCAAGCATAATATTTGTGTCTGGTACCAAGCATACACATCTCTCTCTCTCTCTCTCTCTCTCTCTCTCTATATATATATATATATATATATATATATATATATATATATATATATATATATATATATATATATATATATATATATATATATATATTAATGGCGTATCCTTGTTATAAGGCAGGAGATGTTCCCTCCTTATCTCCTATGTGACACAATCCTTAACCATCCTCATAAAGTATAGCCACATAATCCTCACCAAACATCATGACCTTCTCTCCTACTTTATAAGGGATGGTGGGTGCATTGTACCACATAGGCGTCAAAGAGCCGAAATCCCCTGCCTATGACAAGTTATTACCTCATTAATCTCATATGATATATATATAATAGAAAGAAAACTTGTGACTCAACTTAAGTTGACATCACCAAACTTCTTAACCATTAGATGTTTCCTGGATCCCTTGCCATGATATGTAAGCTGACTTTTATATTATATATTTGTGTGGATAGAAAGTTGGTGCCGACAACTATTCCCTATCCACTTAAGCTTGATAGGAGTCTTGCTCTATATATATATATATATATTATATATATATTAATATTATATATATATATATATATAATATATATATGAGGGAATATGGTATACTTGGGCCATAGGAATCCTAGGTAGTGATGTGACACATCTTGTCCATACATTCACACTCTTGGAGTGGTTGAGCCTTCCATTCTTCAAGTGTTGATGTATGGACATAGATGTGTCCTAACGTCACTACCAAGTGATCCGTTGGTACCCAAGTATACTTCATTTTTCCTTCTATATATATATATATATATATATAGACGAGAAGGAGAGCAGAGGAATATGGGTATAGTTTTCGGTACTCAAGCACAAAATTTGTGCTTCGGTTAGTGAGGTGGAATATTATCCTCACTCATTCAATATGGGGATCACATTCCACATCGTTGAATGTGGTCCCCCCCAATGGCAATGGAGTGGCATGGGACGGGGGCGTATATAGACACCTTTACTACCAAGACCACAAAATTTGTGCTATGGCACCAAGCCCATACCTATACTTATATATATATATAATATATATCATATATTATATATATATAATGATGATGTTCTGAGACCAAAATTTTCATATTCCGTCAAACCAAAGCCTACTTGGTATCGGGATCATATCTCCGTGATTCAAAACAACTCAAATGTTAAAAGAGGGTATTAGATAGAGAGAAATGAGTATGCTTGGTACCAAGTATAAGTTTTTGTGCTTGGTAGTGAGGTGACATATTTCCCTCCACTCATTGAAATCGAGGCTCACAATCACGTGAGTTGGAGAGTGGTTGGGAATTAGAATGAGAGGATGAGAATATGACACCTCACTACCAAGCACAAAATTTGTGCTTGGTACCAAGCTTACCTATTTTTCTCATTTAGATATTAGTGCCTCATATCTTCAATAATTCCATATTAGTCCCTCAAACCTTTGAAATTGCTAATAAGTCCCTCAAATTTTTAAGGGGTCTTGCCATTTGATCCCTCAATGACCAAAACACCCTTCGACTAATGTTTTTTTTAAACACAGCGTTTTGGGGAAATATTGTTTTGATCATTTTGATGAACCAAATTGCATGACCCCTTAGGATTTTGGGGATTTAGAAGCAATTCCAAAGATTTGAGGGACTAATATTAAATAACCCTTCATATTAAATGCGTTTCAAGGAACAAGTCACAGAAGTTTTCTGAATGAAGGTGAATTTATTTATCCACATAATTTATTTTGTTAACTACAAAGACAATACATCTACAGGTCTAAACAACACGAATTCCCAAACTTGAATACAGAAACATAAGAAGTGAGAAGTCTTTCTACATAACAAAGTTGGTAGTCACCTTGCTAACTAAATGCTCTCCATAAACAGCTCCCTCATATTTTGCAACCCCACCGGTCTTCTGCACACAAAAGGCCAATGGCTCCGCATGTGTATCGAAATTTGTCTGTCCATTTAACATAACAGAACGATGTCAATCACGAAAGATTAAGCGTAAACTTCACAAAAAATATACCATCAACTTTCGGATAAAGTAAACATAAACCACCAGGAACTTCTTTCATCAAACTACCAAATGTGACAGCAGTCAGCTTAAGTTGTCACATGCTTCACATATGAAATTTAATGCTGTTAGCAATCATTTTTAATAGTTCATGGTATATTTCTACAGTTTTAACAGCTAATGGTAGTTTTCTCTAAGAAAACATGTTTACCGCAGTTTAACGCAAAACCGCTAAAGTTAATGGTAGTCTTCTGGAAAGTTAAGCAAAAAAAGACTCAAAAGGATCAATAGCTAAACGTACCTCATAAAAGAATGCAACAGAAACACGATACTTCGGAGAGTTGTTGATCACTCTATGTAAAGTTGGCTCGTAAATTCCATTGGACAAAATCTAGAATTTCAAAAGAAATCAGATGAATGTTCTCGAGATATGAGAATTGAATAAGAGAATAGAAAATTAGACCGTAACCTTGAGCATGTCACCAATATTACAAACAAAAGTTCCAGGTATAGGAACTGCAAATATCCAGTCACCTGATCGGTTCCTCACCTGCAAAACTAAGTGTTTGATAACTGATAAATTGATTAAGAACTGCACAGAGTTGGGTGCATTTCATGTGTTCCCGATAATGTGACCAAGTGAATATAGAAGATTAAATTTTTTTTTTGGAAAAACCACCTTTAAGATAGGATAGGGTGAGAATACGAAGACCAAGGATTCTGGTAGCAATCAACCACATTGACCTATTTTCCAGTAAAATTTCGATGAAATCCCCAAAATGCCCTTAAAAACATAGGTATCACCGTACCGGGCATGTGATATGTCTTGTTAACCAAACCTAAACCAAAATATTGTATTGGCACATGTGTTTTTAAAGGTATTTTTGGATTTCAATAAAAAATTTATCAAAAACAGGTTGAGGTGGTTGGTTGCTACCAGAACTCGCTTTAATGGTGGTTTTCCTAAATTTAGCCTATTTTAAACGTAGTTTATCAAAGCACCGTGCTTAAAGATTTGTGTTTCACAATTTTTAATAAAAGAGATTCAGTGAAAGATACGAAGTTTCTTCATAGTATACAACTGCTAACTTTAGGTTTCTAGGAAGAAACATCAGAATAAGAGGAAATTTTGGTAATATCTGAATGGCATAGTAGAAAATAACGAAAACTTTAATGAATAAAAAATATCATTCTGGTATAGCAAGAAAGACAATACAATCAAATTTTTCGCAAGAAGAATATCAGCAAAAGTTTGCATCAATGTGTTGCTAATACAGGAAGAAAACATGAGGATTGACTGTTGGTATCTAGGACAATGTTAAAAACAAAATTTCGTAACATTCATTTAAGATTTCTTAATGGTTCAGAAGTTTAACATAAAACTTAACTTTCATGAGAAAACGATACCTGAAGAGCATGAATATCTTCATCTTGGTTAACCAATGTCAGGAGACCTGTAATTTACCAATGGAACTCATAGAACTATAAAAAGGTTCATAGTATGTAACTACAAATAAATGGCATAGAACTCACCATAATCTGTGTGCGCTCCACTGAACGTGATCATTGAAAATATGACAGGAAAATAAGAGAGAATGTGTAAAACACTATAACAATGAAATAACAAGATTTTTAAGAACAAATCTCCAAGCCGATGATGCTGATTACCATCCGATATCATTGCAGTTCTTCTCTAGGCTTTTGTCATCAGATATACCTGGGTATCCAATTAATCGCATTACCCAAAAGGGATCTCCTGCTATTTTTCCTTCAAATGCTTCTACTTGGCCACCCAATGCCAAAGCAATTCCGCACATTATTTTCCTTGAGAGCTCTTTTCCAATATGAACGAAATTAGTTCTCCAAATGCTATCATCAGCTTGGCAAACTATAAAGGGTTTTTTTCGATATAAAGCCCTTAAATCTTTAAAATTAATTTGAAAACTAGTCCCGTGAATCACTGAAATTGCTATTAGGCCCCCATAATTCATAGATCTTGCTACTGCTGCACTTGATTGTGGATTTCAATTTGAAACTAACTTATGAGATTTTTTTTTTTTTTTTTTTTTTTTGGGGGGGGGGGGTACTAGCAATTTAATGATTTAAAGGACTAATTTTGAAACAATCAATAATAATTGGAGGACCTGATAGAAATTCCAATGATTTGAGGGACTACTTTCAGGGTATTAAAGATTTAGGAGATCAGTACTGAAAAAATCCGATTAGAATATGCACACCTTTGAGAAGGAAGATATACTGCTCCATAAGGGGTTTGAAATTTGAAGGATTATTGGGCCTGTCAATAAATCTAAAGCAGTCAATCTAGTTTTTTCCTTTCTTTTTTTTTTGCCTTTACAGGTAAATATATTTTCAACATTTTCAAACAAGATCCTTAAGAAAATAATAAAAACAACATGGAAACCTAAAATATAAATTTGAAATAATAAGAAACATAAACTCACATATCGTGATCAGACTAAGATATCTAAGAAGCTCATGACAATATTTTCTTGGAAACTTAACCGTATCTGATGCATAACATTGGAGAATTATGACAGTCTGAATGCACTTGCTTTTGAAGACTAGAGGAACAATTAGCTTCAATGCTACTCTTAACAGACTATACAACTATCAAATAAGAAAACAAGTCACAACAGAAATAAAAGGGACCATAATGTTATATATTTAAATATAGCCAAATTTTCAATAAAATAATAAAATATTTAATATAATTTCATTTATAGGAAGATTATTATGCACAAAATTTTGAACATATGTATAGCAAGTGAACCACAAGAGGAACCAGAACAGTACCCTGAATGACATTAACTACTTTAAATTTTAATGACATTAACTACTTTAAATTTTGAGTATCAGTTACTACATTCCTCAAAGGATCAACATGTGTCAACTTTTCAGAATATAAATATGTATTTTCATGAATTAGGCTTCGTTTGGACACGATGGTGTTTTTCTTCATGTTTCTCTAAAAAAAACACCAAACCACTGTGTTTTCCCAACAAAGTGTTCTAAAAACACCATGTTGAGTATTTTTCTTCAACACTAGTTTTGATCCTCTATAACATTTGTATTAAATATATTATTAATATATTTAGTAAAAATGTTGTAATATACAACAATTAAAATGTTATGATATTTATTTGACATTATTATATTATTAATAATTATAATACAATATATTATAGTACAATACATTTGTAATACTATAATATCGTACTTTGATATATTATATTATATCGTAATTAGACTATTATTTCAAATAATAATATATTTAATTATTTTGGTACATCAATTGTTATTGTTATATATTATATAATATTATTAAAACAATATTATACTATTACTAATATAATATAATATTAACAATAATATTATATTATTCCTAGTATATTTTAATACAATAATATATTATTGATACTTTAAAATTATGTAACACATTATAGTTTTTAACATATTAAGGTTTATTAATAATACTTTGATAATATATTAATAAATTTATTATTTAAATAGATATTATTATACTTTTGAATATAATATTATTACATTAACATTTGTTACCAATATATCATTTTATTTATCAAATTATTTTAGTTTATAATATATTAAATGATTATTATATAATATGTTATTACTTCATTTATATTATATTATATTATATTATATTTACTATACAATATATGATATATAATACATTATTATTATATTATTATTCTATAATTATTTTATTATTAAATATATTACTATTATATAGCACATAACTATTAATATAGTATATACTATATGTTTAAATACATTTATAATATTATAATAATTATCTGATATAATATTTATTTTATTATACATTATTATTAATTATTAATAAATTATTTTAAAGTATTTTGTATTAACATATTTATAATTTATTATTATATTACTTTAACTATATTATTATATAATATGTATCAACATATTAAATATTAGTATTTAATTGTTATTATATTATTAATATTTAAGATATTTTTATTATTAATACATTTTATATTACTTACGAAATTACTAATATCTTTGATTAAATATAATATAATAAGCATGTTGATAAAAAATTATATAAACTACATTTAATATATTACGTTAGATATATATTAACAACCCCTCAAACTCAACCAAAACACCAAACTCAAAACACCTAAAAGATATTCTGAAATAAGTGTTGGGTTTTTGATTTCAAGATGTTTTTGCTCAATAAAGACTATGGTTTCCAAACGCATGGTGTTTTATTTTTTGCAAGAACACCATGAAAACAAGTAAAACATCATAGTATTAAAACGATACTTAGTAACTATCGCATGTTCACCAAATATATGATAATTATGTATACAACACAGGTTATTTTAGTGGCTCCAATTGATGCTAAATTCTGATTGCTATGTGTGAGAAATATTACTGTTAACTTGTAATGCCCTCCAATGTGTGGATTCCCGAAGCTACGAATACAAATTTGGGTAAATTTCGCAAAACCCACCCCCCGCCTCTAACAAAACATTTAATTTTTCCCGCAAAACCCACTAAAAATGTCTCTTGCAAAGGTAGAGGTAGAAATTTGTCCCAGTTGTGTCCCTATATAACTTATCATGGTTGTATTTGAAATCTTTATTGATAATTTTACAAGCTATCCTCCTTAGTGGTGTCCTATCCTAATATAAGTAGTGTCCTAAGAAGTAAATACAAGCAAATAAACATATTTAAATTGTAGGAAATCCAGCGATGTCCTATGACACCGGTCCATTGGATACTATGCAGCTCCACCATTGCTTGCAATTGAAGGACCTTACCCTACCTAGAATATTCCCTGGATATTTTTTCTTTGTTTTATCTAAGGCTTATATTTTTCCTCTTGTCCTTTTCTTTTTTGGGGGTTTTGCAGGGAAAGTTGGAAGTTTTCGGGGGTTATTTGAGACTCTTTAGTGTTTTAGGAGTTTTGTAGGAAACGTTTTAGGTGTTTAGTGGGAAAAACGATTCAGTGAGTTTTTGTGGCAAACACATCTATGGGGGGAGGGAGGTGATGTGAAATTTACTCCACAAATTACTAGATAAAGTCTCTAAGCTTGCAATCCATAAAGAAGTATATTAAAGGCCGTTAATACTAAATTCAGATTGCAATGTAGTCATTGATTCTTTTAATATTACATATAAGGGGAAACTACATTAGGAAACTCGCTTCTAAGAATCCCATCAAGAAACACATCAACTATTTCGGGCTAACTTAAAAACCCTTTGGCCAAGGAAATCTTTCGAATAACCTTTTTAACTCGTGTGACTTTTTTTTGTGCTCCAAACGCGCCCTTCCTTCATTTTGTTGCCTCATTTTCCCCTTTTTTCCTTCTCATTTCTCTATGAACCCATGAACCTCTCTCCTCTCTCTCCTCTCATCTCATTTTCAACCTTTCTCATCTCTCTTCTCTGCTCTCATCTTCAATGCCTCTCATCTCTCCTCTCATTTATTCTTCAACCTCCCTCTTTTTTCATTTCCCTTTTTCCTCTTTTTTTCTCCTTTCATATCAACCATGAATCCATGAACCTCTCTCACCTCCCTCTTCTATCATTCTCTTTTTCCATCTCCTTTTTCCCACTTTTTCCCTCCTTTCCATCTCTCTTTTTCCTTTTTCTTTCTCCATTCATATCAACCATGAATCAATAAACCTCTTACCTTGCTCCTCTATCATCTTCTCTATTTTTTCATTATTTTCTTTTTACCCCCTATTTTATTTTTTTCCTTCTCATTATTCATTATTTTCTTTTCTCTATCATCTCTCATCATCAACCTCTCTTATCTCTTTCTTTCTTTCTAGCCTTCTCTCATCCTATTCCACTATCGGCTTTTCCTCGTTGTTACTCCTCTTTCAATATCGTCGCGTTTCCTCATTGCCTGCCCTACTCCTGCAATTGCTCCCTCTCTTTCCTCTTATTTTTGGTCTATCATTCTCTTCTATCATGACCTCTTCTCCCTCCTATCCACCTCTTCTCCTCCACTATTGTCTCTCCTTTTTCTTTTTTAGCATCTTGTCCCACTCTCCTTCGTGCCCTACTTTCCCTTTGCTGACTCTCCTTCTCTTCCCCACTCCCTCTTCCTTGTTCGTTGGCTATGTTCAATACTAAACTTGAAGTTTTTGTTCGTGCATAAATAGAAAATTTGCGAAGAGAAGAGTCTTTTGTGTTTATTGCCTTCAGTCTAGAGTAATCTTTTGAATTGTATAAATATCTACGCAATGAATTATGAATGAGTATAGATACCTTATGTAATGCAATGTCATATCCTCACCCCGTTTATGATATGAAATTTTATAGCATTAATCTACAGGAAATAAAAAAGGTGATAATTTAATTTGTACAGATAACAATCTTATGATTATAGATAGCCATTTTATGAAAGGGATTAACGAAGTTTAATTAACAAAGTATCTTATTTATGAACAAATATAATAATTTATAAATAAAAATAACTTTTCAAAACATAGGCTTAGACAAATTAAAAGGTAACAATTTAATCAATATTGATAACATTTTCATAAATAAAATTAACAATTAAAAAAATAAAGGTAATATATTATTACAATAAATAATGTTTTATGAACAATCGTAACATATTATCTATAATAAATAATAAAAAAGTCTTAGCGTTTTTGTTTTTTCCTGAAAGAAACACGTATTTAGATCGCATGGTGTTTTTTTGGACTGACATGCTAAAAGGTGCTTTGACAATATTGTTCATTTCCTCTCCCAAATCGAGATGCTCCCAACTCTCGTTCTCAAAAACCCTCATCTCTCTATTAGGAGAACCCCCTTCTAACTCCAATTACCACCACCTCCAATTGGCTGTTGATGCTACTGCGATTCTGTCTATCACCATGGAAGTCGTACTCATCTAACTTCTGTTCAAATCTCCTATCAAGGTACTCACCTACTCTCTTCAACTCTCAAATCTCACTTTATCTTCTCAGATTTCTTCTTCCTCTCACTCCCTTCTCCCCTTTGCACGAATTTATTCGAAAATTTTCCACTATTTTGTACGTTTGTGTCAATTTTATGTTTGCCCTAATTTCTATTATTTTATTTTTACCCTAATCTTTCTCTTTACCTCACATCCTACTTCATTTTGAAATTTTTTGCATTGTTTTTCTAACTTTATCCTAAGTGCCCATTAAATCATTTATGTTATCTACAGACTTGATTAATAATGACAATAATGGCATGTATAGTAATGTGTACTACAGACCACTTAATGAAAAAAACTTCATC